TATATATATATATATATATGAGAATTGAGGTCTGCAGAAGGGCCCTAGTCTGTGTTCCACCAACGGAGGCAAGACTGAGGCTGCATCTTCAATGCAGAAATAATCCAAAAATATAACCATTTGAGGTCCAAAACACACTGTAGAAATACAGTAATCCAGTCTGAGACTGCTTGAACTGCCCAGGCTCAGTGCTAGGGAATCCTGGGAATTGTAGTTTATTGTGGCACCAGAGCTCTCTGACAGAGAAGGCTCAATGTCTCACAAAACTACAGTTCCCAGGATTCCCTAGCATTGAGTCAGGGCAGTTAAAGCAGTCTCAAACCGGATGATTATTTCTGCAGTGTGTTTTGGACCTTAGTCTGTAGAGTCAGTATGCAGAGAGATCTTGTAGCACCTTTCAGACTAACAGTCCATCTCAAAAGGCGCTACAAGATCTCTTTACACAAGTAATGCAGTTTGGACACCCCTTTTTAAGCGCCATGACTCAATACTGTGGAATTCTGGGAATTATAAATTTTGTGAGACATTTAGCCCTCCCTGACAGAGAGCTCTGGTGCCACAACGAACTGCAGTCCCCAGAATGCCATAACACTGAGCCATGGCAGTTAAAGGGGTGTCAAAAGTGGATTATTTTGTGCTGTGTGGATAGAGCCTGAGAAGAGAGGAAAGCAGCATGACTCCTCGCTCCCTTCTTCTCAAGGACCGTAATGCGCAGGCGCAGAAGTTACACTCCTCAATCTCTCACTCACTTGGGCTTGAGTCACGCGCCTGGGGGGCGGGGAAAAAGGGGGAGCTCTGGGGAAAGGGAGTGCTTTCGTCATCTCTGTGCGACGATGCCAGAGGGGTGGAGGGAGCGGCGATGAGTGTCGCACTCACGCTGGGCGCCTGTCATGGCGGCAGCCGTTGAAGAGAATAGCTCCAGTCAAGCCGAGATTTCCGCTCCGGTGGGGGACTCCTTGGAAGAGCCGACCGGAGAGCTCCTGAGGGGTTCCCTACGTCTGCTGCCCGAGTTGGTGGGGCAGGTGAGTGGGCAGAGGAAAGCCGGAGCCGCTTACTTGGTGGTGAGGGGAGAGGGAAGAGCCCAGGGTGACAAGGCGTCCTCCTATCCCCGGACGTGTCCTCCATTTCAACGTTTTCAATGTATCACTTTTCTCTATATTCAACGGTATTATTTTTTTTTTATCTTTGTAAGCCTCTCTGGGTCCCAGTTCTGGGAAAAGAGCGGGATATACATAAATGTACGCTCATCCTTCCACATTTGCGGCTTTGACTTTTGCGGATTTGATTATTCACGGATTTTATTAATGTGTTCTCCCCAAGAATCTCTAGGTCAGGGGTAGGCAACCTTTCCCCTTTAAGGGCCGAGGGACTTCAGCTCCCAGAAGCCTCAGCCATGTTGGCCGATAGTCCCATGTTGGCCAATAGCTCCTGGGATTCTGGGAGCTGAAGTCCCTCGGCCCTTAAAGTGGAAAGGTTGCCTACCCCTGCTGTAGGTACTCCAGTGCAACTCTATGGTCACCTTTAACCCATGGATTTTACATTTCCTGGACTTTGCAAATCTCCCTATAGACACAGTGCCAGAAGGAGGAGGAGCTTGCCTACAAAAGATATCTTCCCCACCATATACCATCTTAACTAAAGACTGAAACAACATGTAGGCATCTGACTAAGATCTCCGATTGTTTTTCTTCTGTTTCATTTGCATGATCTTGCCTGATGAAGAAGCCCACGGAGCTTTGAAAGCTTGAAACAAGTATATTGTGCATTTCTGCCACATATTCTGCCACATATCATAGATTTGGAAGAGACCACAAGGGCCATCCAGTCCAACCCCCTGCCATGCAGGAATTCAAAATCAAAGCATCCCCAACAGATGGCCATCCTGTTGGCCAATAAAAGTACCACTGAAGGATTTTTGTTTGAATCCAAAGTTGCATTGAAGGACCTAGAGATTCCTAAAGAATACAGTCCACTAGGCATTTGTATCTCCTCCAGCACAATTCTATGGTCAGTGTCTGGCAGATGTTGGCCACAGAGTTGCATTGGAGGACCTAGAGATTCCTAGAGAAGGATTCTCTCAGGTAAAAACAGTGTTTTTGTTATTTATGTTTTTTCCACATTCATGAGGGTCCTGTGCCCATAACCCCAGCAAACGTGGAGGGACGAGTGTAATGATAATGATAACAACAACAACAATAATAATAATAATGCCTTTGAGACTAACTGAAAGAAATAAGTTGGCAGCATGAGTTTTCATAGACTTCAAGTGTATAAAAGCTCATGGTGCCAATTTATTTCTTTCAGTGTGTCTCAAAGATGCTACAAGATCTCTCTACAGACTAACATGGCTATATCTTTGAATAATAATAATAATAATAATAATAAGTAGTAGTTCAGCTTCTTGTCCAGGAGGAATTCCCAAATTCCCTCCCCTTTTGAGCATTGCTATGGCTGCATTTTCATTGCAATCATAATCCCGTTTGACAGCACTTTAACTGCCATGGCTCAGTGCTGTGGCATTTTGGGAATGTTGACAAGGTTATCAAGTCATGTCCGACCGTAGGGGACGGTGCTCATCTCTGTTACTAAGCTGAAGGGCCAGCTTTATCAGACACTACTCTATGATCATGGGGCCTGCATGATTGCACAGAATGCTGTTTACTTTCCCACCGAAGTGGTACATATTTATCTACTTGCATTTGTATGCTTTCAAACTGCTAGCTTGGCAGAAGCTGGGACTAATGATGGGAGCTCACCCCATCATGCGGCACCCAGGCCTCAAACTGCCAATCTGCAGATCTTGCATCAACAGTAAGGGCCTTTGCAGACTGCCCTGACTCAGTGCTAGGGAATCATGGGAATTGTAGTTTATTGTGGCACCAGAGCTCTCTGACAGAGAAGTCTCAATGTCTCAGAAACACTGAGCCAAGGCAGTTAAAGTGGACTCAGTTTGCACTATTTCTAGCAGTCTGCAAAGGCCTTAAGTGTCTTAACCACTTGAGCCACCCAGAATTCCATAGCATTGAGTCATGAAAGTTAAAACTGTCAAACCAGATTTTTTTCTGAAATGCAGGTGCAGCCTGAGAAGCATCAGTTTACATTTATATAAGTGTTTTTAGGTTTTATTTGGTTGTGTCCTAAGTTTTTATTGAGTGTCCTACATTTCACAGTGCCTTGGTCCTCCTTGGTGGTGAGGACATATATGGTCCCTCTGGGAGAAAGAAGAGAAGCTGCATCGTTTGCTTGAAGATGCTGCGGCAGGGTCCCCAGAGAAGCAGGCGCAATAGGTTGCTCTCTTGAGGTTTAAAAAGTCTCCCTTTTTAAAGATGCCACAGACCCACTTTGCGTTGTTGTTGTAGTTGTGTGCCTTCAAGTCATTTCTGACTTTCAGTGACTCTTAAGGCAAACCTATCATGGGGTTTTCTTGTCAGGTTTGTTCAGAGGAGAATTACCACTGCCATTCTCTGAGGCTGAGAGAATGTGACTTGCTCAGTGGGTTTACATAGTTGAGCCTTACAGAAGTATCTCTTTTAAAATATGAAATCTGGCTAGTGTTTTGAGGGCTTTCTTCCTGTTCTTTCGTCTCAGGTGTTTGAGCTGCATTTAGAGCTTTAAGTCAGTGTGTTTTCTCAAGGTTTTGTTGTTGTTGTGTGTCTTCAGGTCATTTTTGAGGTGAAACTAAGGTGAACCTATCATCGGGTTTTCTTAGCAGGATTTGTTCAGAGTAGGTTTGCCTTTGACTTTCTCTGAAGCTGAAAGAGAGATTGGCTTGCCCAAGGTCGCACAGATCAGGATCTAAGAATTAATATCTGGGTGACTTGCAGTAAACTGTCAAGAATTTTAGATTCCCATTTGTTAATTGTTGTTGTTGTGTGCTCCCACATCTACTTATGGCAACCTTAGGACTTCATGGGGTTTTCTTGGCAAGATTTGTTCAGAGAGGGTTTGCCATTGCCTTCCCCTGAGGCTGAGAAAGTGTGACTTGCCCAAGGTCACCCAGTCGGTTTCCATGACCAAGCAGGGATTTGAACCCTGGTCTCCAGCGTCACAGTCTGGTGCCCAAACCATTGCACCATACTGTCTCTCTCGTGAATAGTAGCAACAGCTAAATGACCTCTCCCTCCATTGTTCCTTAAACGAAAGTTGGAGGCATTCAGAACTGGAATTTTGTGTGGAAGGACTGCAAGTACCATTCAGTTATTGTTCTGAGTTAAATTTCTGGATCCAGAATAATTTTACTACTATGTTGCATCTTTTCTGTTTGGTTCTAGTTGGTGGAATTTGCATATCTAGTTTTTTTTTTAAAAAAAGGTACATCTGCTCTCCTGGACATACCTCATCACCTCTGGGGGCTACCAGTGTTGTAGCCCAACTGTGTTAGAAAGGAAAGTCCAAAGTTTCGTGATGCGTATAAATAAGCATGAACCGAGGAAGCTAGGAATTGTACAAGAAATGGAACATATAAACATTGTAATAGTTGATGTAAACAAGCTGAGGTAGATAGGAATTCTCAGTCAGATAATTACATAGTTTTTTATTCAGGGAATGACAAACTATGAAGAAATGGGGTGGCATTAATAATGAGATGTGATGTACCAATAGGGGTAAAGACATATAATGCAAAGTCTGACCAAATAATTTAAAAAAAAAATGGAATGTAATCATAATAAAAGTTTATACTTCCAACTATAGAGGCAGAAGAAACAGAAATCAATACATTCTATGGAGGTATCCAAAAAGAAATTGATCAGACTTGTTAATCATAGGTGACTGCAATTCAAAGGGATGAAAAAGAGAACCAAACACTGATGACCTAGAATCAAAAAGCAGGAGACTTACTGATCCATTTTGTGAAGCCATCATGGTTTTGTTTTGGTGTGTGTGTGTTGTAAATACATTTTTAAGGATTTGAATAGATGACTACATGTGGACATCATTGGATGGCCTTTACAGAATTCAAATAGACTGTATAATTGGAATCAGAAAATGGAGACATTCTATTTTTTTCTGCAAAAACAATACCAGGAACAGATTGTGGCTCAAACCATGAACTTCTAATATCAAAAATTTGAGTCAAGCTGAAAAAGTACACTACATCAATCATAGTGGCAAAACACAATCGAAAGATTGTCCATGTAGAATTTGAAAACATGTAAATAATAGATATGCATTACTAAATCTAATTAGCCGTGTATCAGAAGAATTCTGGACAAAAATCAGACACAATGTAAAGGAAGAAAGCAAAAAAAACTATCTATAGCCAAATGGAAAGAAAAGACTAACAGAATGACTTATGCAACTTCAGACAGTTAAAGTATAGAGTAAAAGTATCTGTCCTTTAACTGTGTGAAGAGTTGCATAAGTCATTCTGTTAGGCTTTCCTTTCCATTTCTGTCCAGGTGACAGAAATAGGGTCAGAAACCAACATGTGACTGTTCAGCAACTTCTACTTAGGGATAAAGAGAACTATTATAATAATAATCAATGGGCCATTACAGACTGCCAGAAATAGTGCAAATTGAGTCCACTTTAACTGCCCTGGTTCAGTGCTAGGGAATCATGGGAATTGTATTTTTTTCTGAGGCATTGAGCCTTCTCTGTCAGAGAGCTCTGGTGCCACAATAAACTACAGTTTCCATGATTCCTTAGCACTGAGCCAGGGCAGTTAAAGTGGACTCAATTTGCACTATTTCTGTCAGTCTGCAAAGGCCCAATGTAAAGAAATACAAGACAACGGAAAAGGAACATGACTCAACTGTGATGTGGCAGCTAAAAAAGGCCAGTGCAAATCTAGGCTGCATTAATAGAAGTATAGTGTCCACAAACCATGCCCTCTGAGAAGTGACTTAGGGAGATGGGTATGTTTAGCCTGAAGAAGAGATTGTTAAAAGGTTATATGACAATCCTATTTAAATACCCGTATTTTCCGGTGTATAAGACGACTGGGCGTATAAGACGACCCCCTACTTTTCCAGTTAAAATATAGAGTTTGGGAAGAGTATGACTTCCAAAACTGTTGTTGTTGCTGTGCACCTTCAAGTCATTTCCAACTGATGATGACACTAAGGCAAACCCATCATGAACCTCCTTATACCCGGCGTATAAGACGACCCCCCCTTTAACCCCAGATTTTGCAGGTTAAAAAGTAGTCTTATACGCCAGAAAAAATTTGAAGGGGTGTCTTAGTGAGGATGGAACAAGCTTGTTTTCTGCTGCTCTAGAGACTAAGAAACTGAACAATGGGTGCAAGCTTCAGGAAAAGAGATTTTTTTTAAATATTTTATTTAAATATCCATAAAACAAAACAGTTACAGAACAAGACGAACTCAACATACAACACATTATACATAATATTCAAAAATATATTATTTGAAAACTAAAAAGGGATACTAAAAAAGCGAAGTAAACACAAACACAAAAAAAGAAACTTCCTGAGCTTTGACTCAGTTGCTTTTCCTGCATATCTTATAGATCCATCTCCGACGCTAAGATACCATGAGGTTAGTGTTTATAAATACCCTACATCTTATCCCATCTCTATATAAAAAAAGTACCCGCACGTGCCTGTCTATAACTCTAAGCTGTACCTTCTCAGCTTATTTACACGCAGTAGAGCAGTAAAAAAAAAGTTTCTGTTTAACAATCTTATATTAGCTTCTTCATCCTATTCCTTTTATCAGTTTATCACCAAATAGAAGGAGACAAGAAACAAAGAAATCTTAAATTTATATTGCTAATGTCAACTGTTCACCATATTCACTATTCTCTAGGAATTTTTTCACTGGCTCCCAGGCTTTTTTGTTAATTAACCATGATTCCCCTCTTAAACATAATGTTAACTTATCTGTCGTGATCAAGTCAATCAGTTTTTTCAACCACACTTCTATCATCGGAGTCTCTTCACATTTCCATTTGGCCGCATAGGCCATCCTAGCCAATGTTGTGATATAAAATATAAGTTTACCAAACTCTCTTTCCAAAGTAACATCCTCCACCATTCCAAGTAAGTAAAATTTGGGATCCATCTTATCTCTGACTGCAATGATCTGGGAGGTTATCTTATGTATGCTTCTCCAATATTTTTTGGCAACTTTGCAGTTCCACCAGACGTGAATAAAGGTCCCTTTTTATTCCTTGCACTTCCAACATAGACAGCTGACTCCCTTCTCCATGTTAGCCAGCTTAGCCGGAGTCAGATACCATCTAAGCTGCGTTTTATGGAAGTTCTCTCTCAGAGCATAACTAAGTGAGCATTTAATTCTTTTGGTCCAAGATTTTTCCCACTGGTCAAGCGATATTGTTTGCTTTAAGTCTACCACCCATTGCACCATATTTTCCTTAACTAACTCATCCTCTAGTTCTGATTTAAGTAACAACTCATAAAATTGTGATATTTTAACTTTCTTACCTCCATCTAAAATTTCCTCAAAGTCTTTTTCTGCTTTTCCGATCCCCGTGTTACTTTTATCCAATTTAAACCTCACTTTTAATTTGCAAATTGCAAAAAATGCAATTAGGAAAAGAGATTCCACCTAAACATTAGGATGAGCTTCCTGATAGCAAGAGCTGTTTGACAGTGGAACACACTCCCTCAGAAAGTGATGGAGTCTCCTTCTTTGGAAGTTTTTAAGCAGAGGCTGGATGACCATCTGTCAGGGGTGCTTTAATAGTGAGTTCCTGTATGGCAGGGGGTTGGACTGGATGGCCTTTGTGGTCTCTTCCAACTCTAGGATTCTAAGAGAAGTCAAAGACCAATTTAAGAATATCAAGCCTGAATGATTAATGGGGAATACATTATATGATCAGGACAAAATAAAAAGATGACAGAAGTAATACACTGAAGAATTGCGATACACAAAAAATGAAAGAATGACAGATTACTTCAAAGTAGACGTTTCTGACGAAGATGAGGATAGGAGAAGATGATGAAGAAAATGAAGTGAAAGGTGCTCCCAAAGCACTTAGGATAAAAAAAGCACTAGGAAAAGATAGCATACCAGTACAACTGTTTCAGGCTATAGAACCTGATTTCAGAGTTTAAAAAAATCATCCACAGTGTAACAAAAATTTACCAACAAATATGGAAAACAAAACAATGGCCCACAGCCTGGAAATGTTTAGTATACATTCCAGTCCCCCCAAAGTGGGACATCAGGATCGTAGTAGTCATGGGACCATTGCATTAATCTTCCATACAAGCAAAGTGATGCTTCAGATTTTACCACAAATATATAATATATATGGAATGTGAAATGCTAGATGTCCAAAATGGAGTCAGAAAATGAAAAGGCACATTAGCTAAAGGAGTGCACCAAAGAAATTCAAAAGAAAATCAGTCTGTACTTTGTGTGAGAGAGCCTTTGACTGTGTAAAAACAAAAGCAAAGAATATGAAAAAATAATGGATTTCTTTAAAAGAAATGCAGATGTCACCATATTATTGTTAGAAAATAACAAGGATTTGGAATAAGAAAGGACCTACAAAATCAAGGTTACAGTCAATTATTTAGATTTTTTAAAAAAGACCACAGATGACTTGCAGAATTTTAATGTGAGTAATGAAGACACTGGAATTCTTAAAGTTTTCTTTACTTAGGCTCAGACATCAGTCAAAATAGAGCATGTAGTCAAGACATCAGAAAAAGATGAAAACTTGGAAGGACAGCTATGAAGGAGCTGGTGTGTATATGGGCTGTGTCATAATGTTTTCTATGCAAGATTAGTTCAGAGGAGGTGAAAATACCAACATCAGGATCGTCCATGCTAAAGTATTTCTGATTTCTTTGTATGGAGAAAGCTGACAGGAAGAAGATCAACTTATTGGAATTGCAATATTGGGGGACCTCCATACATACATACAGTTGGACCTCCATATTCATGGATTTTTTATCCAGAGAGTTGGACCTCCATATTCATGGATTCTTTATCCAGAGATTCAACCATCCACACCTTGAAAAATATTCAAAAAAATATATATAAATTCCAAAAAGCAAACATTGATTTTCCTATTTTATATAAGGGACACCATTTTAGTATACCATTATATATAAGGGACACCATTTTAGTATACCATTATATATAAT